AGTAAGATCAACGAATTACTCTTTGCAGATGACCAGGCCTTGATAGCAGAAACAGCCATGAAATTGCAACAACATCTAATATCCATGAATGGAGAATGTAAAACAAATAATATGAGAATCAACACTGAAAAGACAGAAGTAATGTCAATAGGAAAAAAAGAAGACAGATCTAAACATAGCAATAGAGAACAAAGGCATTAAAAAGGCATCTGAGTTTAAATATCTGGCAACTACATTTACCGAAGATGGGAAATCGGATAAAGAAATTAACATTAGATGCAGTAAAGCAAACCAAGTATTGTGACAGCTAGCCCCCCTCTTACAGCATAAGACAATCCCAATCAGCACAAAGAGACATCTTATTCAAAGCATATTTATTCAAACTCTGTGCTACCAGTGCCAGACATGGTCACTCACAACAAACCATAAAAGAAAATTAGTAACCATGTAAATGAGATGTCTGAGAAGGGCTGTAGGAGTGACCATAAGAGATAAGATCAGGAATGAGATCATAAGAGAAAAAGTTGGCACAGAACCAATTCTAAATTACATACAAAGACAGCAAGTGAAATGGTTTGCCCACTTAGAGAGAATGCCTTGTGACACCATACCATACAAAGCATACACGGAAAGAGAAGAAGGTCGTAGAGCAAGAGGTAGACCAAGAACAAGATGGAAGGATAACATCAGAAAAGCTCTACAACAGCACGATGTGCCTATGGTCAAGGCGACCAGAAGAGCCAGAAACAGAACCTTATATCTCCCTCGACACCCACAGCGGTAAAAGAGGAAGTGAAGAAGAAGAAGAAGAAGTTATTATTATTATTATTATTATTATTTGTCTTCTTGCAAAGTGCTCTTGTCTGGCCACATCCCGTTTAGCTTCCGTTTCTTGAAGTCTGGTCATGATTGCATATTCACAGTTACTTCGCTCCCGCAGACGTCTTACTTCTCGCAGATCATTCAATATATAGGCTTGGTCCAAGTAGGCGTGGTCGAGAATTGTAAAATATAAGATGTTTTCATTCTGGTACAGTGGTGCCTCGGTAAACGATCCCTTTAGTATACGTTCAACTTGGTATACGTTCTGATTAGACGCGAAAACTAATGCTTGGTATACAAACTTTGTTTGGAATACGTCTCACGTGGTAGAGCTTGTGTGAGTCAAAATGAGTCACGACATTACTCACTAATGTTTTTTAAACCTCTCTCATAAATCAATGAAATATTTGCCAAATGGATAGGTGTCAATTACTTTGTAGAAAAGTATCACTCCAACAAAGACCAAACAAGCCGAAACAGCATTGTCTGGAATGCTAAGAAAATGTCACATTACCGAAAATACCGAGGTGATGGCAGGAACAAAGTTCTTTGGTCAGATTTTTAGTAAAAGTCAAACTTATCCACCTCAACCAGGTCGAGGTAGCAAAAAGAGATCACAAACACAAACACGCACACACACACTAACACACGCAAACACACATACACACAAACACAGGCACTAATTTCACATTCCTGTAGTTTTATTGGAACAATACTCTTCACACCATATAACCTTCCTCTCCTTCCTTCTCAGTGCCATCCTAATAGGCACTCGACACTTCTCAGGAAGGTAATGGGGGTAGAATTTCATTTACTTAATCTTTTCTTCAATTTCTTTTTAAAATTTATGTATTTTATGATAAGGCAATGTATAAGTTATTGGGTTCTTTTTAAATATCCTACCCCAGAAGACTTCACATGACAGTCCAACATTTTAAAGGATGGTAGGACTGTGTTTCCCAGGTGTTTCACGCTTTTTAACGACACTAAAGCATCTAGAACTGGCCCTAACCCCAACCCGCCTACGTCCTACGAAGGAGTGCAGCCTAGGTCCCACAACTGCATGCAGCCTATCTACCACCCCCTGAAATATTAGACTGTTCCGTGACCTGTGGATTTCCTCTGCCTGTGGATTTCCTCTGTTTGGGGTAGGATATTAATAAGGAAACAGTTATTGTACAAACCACATCAATTAATAATATGTCAACAAAAATACATTATTTTGATTTCATTTATGGAAACGTATTAACCAGTCTCTCTTTATTTCTTACGGGATAATTCGTTAGGTGTCCTGTTTTGAATATGTCCACTGATCAGGAATAGATTAAGTGCGTACACCAAGGTACCAATGAATTTGTAAAAGTAACTCCTGAAAATACTTGCGCTGATATGTAGTGAGTCTTAGGAATAAGCTACTCTGAAGCAACAACAAAGAAGACGAACAAATTTGTCTGTTATAAATGTCACAGTTCTCCTTTCCAATAGTGAACAAGGCCTAGACAAATTAATTCTGGTCGTCAAAAAGCATAGCGAAGAAGTAAACCTTGGGGGGGGGGGGGGGGGGGGGGGCAATAAATAAATTATGTCCTTAGCAAATAAAGTACATTAACCACACATCACAATCGACAATGAAGAAATTGAAAATGTTAATTTTTCGAATACTTGGGCTCTTTAGTGAACGAAAGTGGTGACTGCTCGAAAAAAGTTAGAATATTTGCATTATCAATGCAGAGATTAAACTGCATGAAGAACCTGTGGCAAAGCATCTGTAAATTAGTTAAAAGTAAAAATCTTGAGATCATGTATTTTTCCTGTGGCAACTTACGGTTGTGAGTCATAGACTTCCACTCAATCCCTGAGAAAACAGACTGCAGCTTTTGAATTGAACTATTACAGACACATTTTCAGAAAACCATGGACAAAGAAAAGGAAAAACATCGACATTCTACACTAGTTTAACATCTAAGAGAACTGGCTCATAAACATCATCCTGTCTCGAAATTTGAAGTATTTTGGCTTTATCAAACGTCATAGTGGCTTGGAAAATACTGTGTTGGGGGGTGCTGTTTGTGGAAGAGGTCGACCTCTGCGAACATGAATACAGTACATTGAAGATGCACTGGAAATGAAAGCACAAGGAGTTGGAAAGCTGGCTAGAGGAAAGGGATACTTTCAGGCGTGCCGTGAAGAGAGCGACGTTCTGAAAGGACTTGCTGACTTTTAAAAGCCAAGGTAGTCAGAATATGCAGTTATAATCTGATTGACGATGATTATAACTGCCTATTCTGACTACTTTGAATCTCAAAAAAATGTATTTGTAAAAAGAAAAAGATGTTTTATTTGGCTGTTCCCTTGAATACCCGCATGACCTGGCATAAAGATTAAGGTTATGGCAGATATTCGTGAGGTGCTTATTTTTGCATTCCACTCTTGCCTTATAAATCCAATGGTTCACTATTTTTCTATTATTAAAACTTCCACTTAATTTTCTCACAGATGAGGGTAAATCAAAAACTGCAGAAAATACAAATACAGTAATATGGACTACATAATACTCTGTTTTAAGTTCATATTCGCACCAGTCTGGTACGTATTCGGAAATTCAGTGACGTGCACGAAATATGAGGACTATGTTGGTGCGGTTAATGTCTACCTTAGTAGCATTAACCATTACATTTACTAATGCAATTTTTGGCTGCATGGGACTGATAGCACAGGTTGATGTGTATAATCCATCTCGATTCGTATTAGAATCCACAACCATCGGGCAGGCGTTTTAGCAGTTTCTTGACGGTAGCTCCCCAGTGTGATATTTGTTTATAGTTAACTATTTCAAAATTTACTATCACTGAATACTATGATAGTTTGTGGCTGTTATATGGTTTAGTTTATCAGATTGTTTGTGTTTGCAAATTACGGTACCAGCCATGTTTACTTAGGGCGAAAAGAAGTGGAGATCTGAGGTGGAAAAAAAAAGTTACTTCTTCTTTCGTTCGCTTGTAATAAATTATCTGTATCTGTACGGTGGTTTCTAGAATGAACCTAGCTGTCTTTTGTAATTCACTCAGCGAAAAACAAGGGTTTACTAAAGCCATCTTATTGTGATCGAATACTTCCATCAACGAAAAAATGCATTTCTGTTGGCTTTAGCGCCTCTAGCAACTACCACATTTATTTACTGCGTGCTCATATTTCTGGATTGTGCTGGGACAATTGTTTGTTCACCAGTTTTTACAAATGGAACATGAGGAAGATTTCCTTTGATTTGCACTGGCACAGGAACGGAGCAAGTATGAGCTGACTCTACTATTACAGTGAAGATAAAACATCGATTAAGACTAAGGGGTTACGTGCACGTCATAGTAAACTTTCGGACAACTTTGCGTGAGCTGGCTGAGGGCCTGTGTTCCATTAGAGGATAAAGGACAGAAGGAGAAATCTTTGCTGGTTGTTGGAAATAGCATCACATACCAGTGGCAATAAATTTTGCCTATTATTATTTCTGAATGTTTCAAATACGCTTTAATTCCCCCCTCCCCTCCCACACCACACTTCTCAAATACGCAGTAATACTTTTCAGTTTTGCAGGTTTTCTTATGTCTCTATACCATTCCGGGGTAAACAGGTTACCCTCTCAGTTCTTCGTGTTTAGTTATGTCTCTATACCATTTCGAGGTAAACAGGCTAGCTTCTTAGTTTTGCGTGTTTTCTTATGTCTCATTCCGAGCTGAACAGGTTAGATTTTCAGGTTTGCGTGTTTTTTTATGTCTCTATACCATACTGAGGTAAACAGGCTACCTTCTCAGTTTTGCGTGTTTTCTTATGTCTCTGTATCTTTATGAGCTGAACAGGTTAGCTTCTCAGTTTTGCATGTTTATTTATGTCTCTATACCATTCCCAGAAGAGCAGTAGTACTTCTCAATTCTGCAAGTTCGCTTGTTTCTTTACATCATTCACACCTGAACAGTAATACTTATCAGTTCTACATGTTTGCTTGTCTCTCTGTATTATTCCTAGGTGTACAGTAATGCTTCAAAGTTCTGACTGTTTGATTACGTCTCTATATCATTCCCATATGAACAGTAATACTTCTTGACTCTGCAATTTTTAAAAAACTTTTTGTCATTCCTGCAGCTGGACTCAGTCAGCTGGTGAGAAGCTGAGGCTCCTGGGAAAAA